GACGGGGGTGGCTGGGGGTGTGTGCAGCTGAGTGGCGGTTACCATCTGCCCATGGTGCCTTACCCTGTCTCTGCCTTCCAGGGCTCTGCATCGCCCTGTGCCTGGGGGGCACCGTGGCCCAGAATAACGGCACACAAGGTAAGGCTGACTCCTCCTGGCTAACCTTCCCCAGCGCTCCCTGCTGCCCGGGGTCTCCGGCCTCCACCCTCTCCGGTCCCTTTCCCTTGTGGGAGGAGAGCAGAGTCAGGGGTCTGGCGAGCCGAGAGCAGCCCCTTGGCGTGGGTGTCTTGGGGTGGGTTTATAGAGCACGGTGGGTGCGTGCAGGGGAGAGGAGAAGGCCCCTGTGTAGCCCTCCTCTTCCCTTCCCAGCCCCATGGCCAGCAGAGAATAGATACTGGGGCCCAGGGCTCTACACTGGGGGTGGATTGAGGGGCAGATCCCCTTTGTAGCCAAGGGCCGTGTTATTGACCAGCCCAAATCAATCCCCTGATGGCTCAGACATTAGAAGTGGCATTTGTAGGTGCCCCGTCCCTCTAAAATCAGGCTGAACTGAAACCTGGGACCCACGTGCCCAGCTGGGGGGCATTTGGGATCCAGACTCTGCACCCCAAGCCCAGCTCTGCTGCGAACCCCCAGTGCTGCACCCACCCTGCTCCGTCTGCTCCCATCCCAAGCCCTGCAGCCGGCTAAGCTGCGCTGGGATCCTTCCCCTCACGCTGGCCAGAGGGACGGATCCCAGCGGAGCCCCAGACACCGGGCAGCTAAAGGATCCAGGAGCCCCCGTAGGCAGGTCACAATCTGGGTCATGGGAGGCAGCTCAGGATCCAAACTAGCCTCGCGCCCGACTCCGCTCTCAGTCAATCCAGAGCAGAGCCGGGCAGGAATTTCCCACGGACCCATTTTTTGCCAGAAAATGCCGATTCGGTTCAGAGGAATGTTTGGTTTTACTGGGAAAAAATTGCACCGGGGGGAGATGAAATAATTTTCAAAACGAACAATTCCCGTTTTCTGGTTCGAAGCGAGGTTTGGGTTTGAAATTGACGCTAATGAGAGTAACGACGACAGCAACAAAGAGGAGAAAAATCGGGTGAGATGGAAAACGTTTCACTTGAAGCGACGCCCGGCTCCGGCGGCTCTGCCTGTCTGTGCCGGGGGCTCCCCGGGGAGCCAAGGCCCCTGTGCAGCCGAGGGCAGCTTGTTGCCAGGCGGTGGATGGTGTCAGAGCTGTTTGCCAGGCGCCCAGAGACAAAAATCAGCGAATGGGGCGTGTGAAAGGAGTCGATCCCAGTGTGTGGTGGGGGGGGGAGGCACTCTTCACTGGCTGACCCTGCCCAGCTGTTCCCGCCCCTGCAGGTACCACTGAGGACTTCATCACCCATATGCTATGCCCAGCAAACGCCAAGTGTGTGAACAACACCCACTGCACCTGCCTGGATGGATACCAGTCACATGGGAATCACCCCGTCTTCTTCACCGACACAACGGAGATCTGTGACGGTAACGGGGCTCCCACATTGTCCTGGGGGGGCTGGGACAGAGCAGGGCATTAAGTGACGGAGCAGCCAACTCCACTGACTGCAGGGCCTGTTGGGGGGGCTCAGCCCGGCTGGGGAATGGGGGGCAGCAGCACGGGTGAGCGCCGCCCTCCTGGGGATCGAACCGGGGCCTCCAGTGTGAACAGCAGGAGCGGCTGCAGCAGGAGTCAGGAGCGTTGGGCTCTGTGAATTGGGCACAGGGTGGGGGGGCCCATCACACTGACCCGTCTGAATCCCAGCCTGGGCCCTAGTCAGCCCCTGGGTGTCCTGGGGCAGAGGGGCCCCACGGGAGCAGAATGGGGCAGCCCTGGCTGTACTTCCTCCCCCCGAGCCCGCAGGGATCCAAGGAGGGAGGGGGCAGAGGAAAGGCAGCTTGTCACCCCCCCCAACACACAGAGAGCCTGGAGCCCCAAGGGAACGTCTCAACCTCCCCTCCCCTCACATGGGGGATCTGGCGTTTGTGGGGCCAAACCCCCCGTACCTGGGGGGGCTGTTTCCGACATTCCAGCAGCAGAAATGGGTAACTGAGGATCACGGCCTTAATCACTAACCGCTCAAGACCCCAGTCGCCTGCATCCCATCACCCAGCTCAATGCAGGGAGCTGGGGGGTGATACAGGGAACATCTCCCTGCCAGTACTGTACAGAGCATCCCCTCTCGCATTACAGATATTAACGAGTGTCTGGGGCCGAGCCCGCCAGACTGTGGACGCAACGCACACTGCGCCAACTTGGCTGGGAGTTACTACTGCACCTGCAGCGATGGCTACGGTCCCAGCTCTGGGAAAGCCAACTTCACACACGCGAGTGAGAACACCTGCCAGGGTGAGCTCTCCCCTGGCCCCCACCTGCTGAGACACCCCCCCCTCGCACACAGAAATGCTCGTTCCAGGCCTGGTGCTGCACCGGGGCTGCTGCCGGCTTTGGCAGTAGCCTGAGACTGTCAGCGAGGCTGTGATGAGACGTGACCCTCTCCTGCTCCCGCAGAGCATGGGGCCGGGCTCACCCCTGTGCCCAGTGCTTGGACAGGGAATAAACCCTCGGGGTTAGAAACAGACCCACAGAGCAAACTCCTTGTGCTGCAGAGATGCACTGGGGAGAGGGGAGGGGACCCTCGCTGGCCCCAGCACGCAGCATCTGAGCTGCTAGTGCCCCGCGGAGCCTGGGAAGTGGCCCCAGGAACGGCTCTGGGAATTGGGCTAAAGCGTTCTTGAATTCGCCCCTGTCCCCTATTGCTTGAGCTTCCACTAGGGCAGGCAGCCATGCTCTCCTCTGGCCTCTAGGGGGCACAGCTGCTAGTTCGAGGGACCCTCCCACTGCCCAAAGCTCCCTGCGTGGGCAGTGCTGTGAGGGGGCATGTGCTGTGACTGGCATTGCCAGCCCAGCCCCAGGCTTCCCTGAGGCACCCCGAGTTCCAGCAGTCTGGGGCGGGGACATGGGGTTGGCGTTTGTCAGCTCCGTGTGCTGTCCCGGCTCTGTGCGGGTCGCCGGCCCGGCAGACCTCCATTGAAGTGCCCAGACAGCCCACAGAGTTCGATCAGTGGCGAAGGCGCTCGGCCAGGTTTATTGCCAATGCAGCCCGGTGCCAGCGCCCAGAGATGCCACAGGGACACGGCCACACGTCTGCCTCTGACAATGGACCCGACAGTTACAGACTGAGACAAACCATCTGGGATAAACAACCTACGTCCCAGCTTGTGTGTTTCACAACATGCTTGTTACCCCCCTTGTGCCTTTCTCCTGCTGCTTCAGACTAAACTTCCCTTATTCACCCCCTGGCTTTGTACTTTACTCCTGATGCTTCAGACAAAACATTCCCCACCCGTCAAACCATCTTATCATGCGCTAGGCAGGGGAATCTCGTGCTGGGATGTGGTTACACAGTCACTGGGTTTTGGCAATGCCGGCAATACCGGTGCTGAGTTCGTGCACCGGACAGTGAACTTGCAAACAAGCCTCTCCTTGGTGTCAGGGTGTGACTGGTGCCTGGGGGGCCCCACTGAGATTGCTCCATCCGGGCAAACTGCAGAGTGGGGCCGACAATCCCCCAAACTGCTGGTTATTTCTGATACTTAGATTCACCAAGCCAGCAACAAACCAGCTGCTCCGATACCGTGCTGCTTACCCAGAAGCCAGAAACACAGCTCCCAGCTCCTTTTCTAGTGTGGCTTTAAAGGCAGAATTTGGGTCATTTTGCCAGCAAGTTGCTTAACCCTTTCTGGCTCAGTGTCCCACAGGGCCGGACTTTTGCTCAGAGCATCACTTATGCTGACTTTGGTTCGGGCCTTGTACCAGGCCCCTGCTCCAGGCTCTCTCTGCTCCAGCTCCATGTCGCTCCCCCAGGGCAGCGCTGGGAGGGGCATGTGCTGGGACTGGAATTGCCAGCCCAGCCCCAGGCTTCCCTGAGACACCCTGGCTTCCAGCGGCATGGCGGGGGACACCCGGGCTGACCAGCTCCGCATCGCTCCTCCAGGGCGGGGAGTTTGCCCAGGGCACAGACCGAGAGGTCTCTCTGGGCTCGCAGGCCAGTGGATTCGGAGATCCCTTTGCACTGGTGAAGCTGGCGCATGCACCAATGCCAGTCCCCTGGCAGGGGAGACCCACATGCTGGTGTCTCCATCGGGGGACGCTGGAAGCTCCCAGCTGCTAAATCGCTTTGTGCTGGTCCCTGTCTGTGCTCCCTGAGCCCCCCGAGTCAGCAAAGCACATGTTTGGCTCCAGCCCTGCCCAGCTACGCACTTAATTCGGCTCCAGTGGGTCTCAAGTGCATGGCTGAGCTCGTGACGACAATCCCAGGCACTAAAAAAATCAGGTTCGCTTAGAAAATCATGAGCTATAGAAATTCCAATGAGCCAGGGGCAGAGTGTGGAGTGAATTGAATTGGAAAGGGGCAAATT